CCATCAATGTGGCCCTTCACAAGGGGCAGCCTTAATCAGATCCCCCCCTTTTGTGGGTCACATATGCACCCTGCCCACATCTGAGCTCTGCGCTCGTCACTGAGCTACCACACCAATGAATGTGGCCCTTCACAAAGGGCAATCTTAGCCTGTTGCTACCCCCCTGCAGCACTGCCACACCAGCAGATCAGAATGCATGTGGTGGTTGTCTGCCACAGCATCATGCTCCTCCCTGTGCATTCCATTCTAAAGCTCAAGTGGGCATTGGATCTCACCCATTGTAGCTTGCTGCATTCATTGACTTGTCAGGAGCTTGGAGAGCATTTGTTCAATTCTCCTGTGCTGGAGCAGAATGGTTGCAATGCTGCAATGGCAGAAAACCTCCTCAAGCTTGTGCAGCACTACTTTGATTTGTGAGTAGGCATTGCGCCACAACCACAATAGAACGATGAGCATGCGTCACAAGGATAACTTTGCTGATGCGGTCTTTGTTGCGGCAGCAACGAAATGGGTGCGGAATGGTCAGGATATCACTGAAATGGATGTATTGGTAGGGAAGAGAGAGAGAGGTACTCTCTGTGTGGTGTTTACATGTGTATGCATGCAGGGGAACCGGTGTGCATCAGGTCACGTGTTCTGACATTGGGAGTAGGGGAGGGATCAAGGATTGGATTCTTGATTCTGGCTCAACAAACCGGACATCGTCGCGGCTTTGCATGGTACGCGCGTGATACCCTCGCTTTTGCCCAGAAGATTGGCCATGCTTTGCATTTGCTCAAGCGCATGGAAGCAGCAAGTGTGCATGTGAGCAGGTGTTGTTGGGCAGAGGTGTTCAGCATATTGAAATCAACTTTGCTTGCATGACAAGCCTTGTGCAAAGCAGAAGAAAGCCTTTTTAATTTGGAGTCCACTTCTGCTCTTGCCAGGTGTCATGGTCAGCAAGCTGACCAGCAGCAACATAGAGTGCGCTCAGCATGCTATGCCTGCTAGCAAAGCTCAGTGGACAAGCAGGCAAGCCTTGAGGCAACGCTGGAGGAGCAAAATAGAGAGATCCAGAGGCTCTGCAAGAGGCTGGGTTTGAACAGCAGTGGGAGCCGTGCTAGTGTTGAAGGTTTGAGCAAGGTGAGTCTTTTGAGTCAAAAGGGGCAGAGAACAAAGCTGACGCTCTTGTTTGCAGAAGCACGCAGAAATCTCGGCAGCGTGTGCTTCTCCTGTGGTGGAAATGGAAGTGACAGGCGAGGTTCAAAGTATACAAGTAAGGTACCAACAGGCAAGGCTCAGAAGAATATGAGCAATGTACCGACAGGCAAGGTATCCAATGTCAACAGGGCTGAGTAGCTCAGCCATTATTTGAATGCACGTGCTGATCACCTGGTGTGGTCTAGCACTGCAACATGTTTAGTGTCAATGCGGCAATTTCGAAGGAGACAATTGATCCTCTGATTGCTGAACAAGAACAAAAGAACACGATCATCTGCGCACGCAATGCACAGATTGCCAGTCTCAAAGTATGCCCAATCCCCTAGCAGCAGCTGCGCTAATCAATCAGTGCTTACAGATGCATTCTTTCCCATCCTCTCCATTCAATCCCTTGCAGGTGCTTCTGGTTAGTGACAAAAGGCACCAGGTGCCATCAGTATGCAGGTCAAGCACAAGGACACAACAAAAGCCGAGAGGCACAGAGATCATCATGACCATAGCATCCAAGTGAAGGACGAAGACGACAAGAAGGATGAGCTTATGGAGGAAAATGAGATGGTACCCAACACAGAGGAGTCTGAGGTGGGTGAGCTTTGTGCTCGGTGGCGATGCGCAGTCCTATATGCGTGAGGACCAGGGGCCTCTGACGGACGCGAGGGCGCGCGTTCATGCCGTTCAACACCCAGCGGACGGTCCATGGGCCGAGATGCTGACAGGACGGAGGGGCGCTGTCAAGTACGTCGGCACGACTCACGCTCATGACGAGGTCAGCTCGCCAATTGCTCGCGACGCAGAAGATGCCAAGCTCACCGGCACTGTGCGGCGCGCAAGATGGGTGCCTGGCAAGTGGCGCGTATGTGCGCTTGTGGACAGACACCCCCGTGAGTTGGGCGCTGGACCGGACTTGCCGCTTCGAAGAGCTGGCGCTGGCCGCTCCGAAGAGTCCGCTGACGGTGCTCCAAGCTGATACTCTGCTCCCACAGACTCGACCACGTTGGGATGGCGAAGATTGAGTCAAGAGCAAGACGCGGAGCGCGTGCTCATTGCGCTCGGAGGACCGTGGTTGGCCAATACGGCAACGGGAGGGCTACACCTCCGCTACAGCCCCAACAAGCAGTATCGCCGAGCCGTGCAACGACTACTTTGCATCGTCCCTTCAGGCCGTCCAGAAGCAGCGTCGCGCGACCCCAACGTCGAGGAGTTGGTGCGCAAGCATCATGCTATGGTGGTTGAGCACGAGACCATGCAAATGGCTCCTGCCGCGCTAGAGCGCAGCATCGACATGGCATCCTGCGCCTCTTGCCCCCGTCCAGATCGTCTGTCGATGATCATCTACAAGGATAATACCGTCGAGGATCTTGCCAATGAGGCAGACGACTTTGGGCTCTTTGGTTGGGGATGCGGACAAGGCCCAGAGCGCATTCAGCATAATTTGGCCATGGTCGACTTTCACCAGGAGGCCTGGCCCTATGACGGTGTCACAAGAGCGAGTAATCCCCCAGCATATGCTTCGAGATTTGCTATCGACTTTTGGCCTCATGGCAGGCGTCACACGAAAGTGCTTCTGCACTTGATCGCGGCTCTCCGGATGATCATCGCAGTGAGTAGAGCTACGTTGCTAGCAACATTGCAAACCTTTCCTGATTGTCTTGTCCAGACCGGAGCTTGCATCATTTGCCTCTCGTCCTCAGAGGTCACCTTCTTTCTGCTGCGACGTGTCAAGGACACTCTCAAGCATCTCAAAGGGGTTCTTGGGCCACAAGGGCTGGCAGATGTACTGCTTGGAAGAATGTCTCTGCAAGCCTTTGCAGAAGCAGTATTTGAACCCAGCAAGTACGGCTACAAGCTGCTCATGGACCCAAAGCATGCAGGCTTCAGCATCACGGAAGAAGCAGGCCGTGTGTACAATTTGACCCTTCAAAGGTGTCATCAAGTACTGGCATCTGCTTTGCAAGCACTATAGCAGACTGTGCTACATCGAGACCGCCATCTTTTGTCTAGCTGAGCATCACGGCGGGCCAGCAATGCGGTTGATGGAGCAGATCAACAAGGACCTTGACCTCTACAAGATGCTCATCAAGACAAAGCAAGCCATCCATGCACTGGTGAAGGTCAAGCCGCTTTACTACGTGTCCACGACCCAGCCCTCTTTGGCCTTGCTGTTGTCTCCGCAGGGCAACGACCATCTGACGACTCAAGCTTGGCCTCTGCTTTGCAAGCACTATAGCAGACTGTGCTACATCGAGACAGCCATCTTTTGTCTAGCTGAGCATCACGGTGGGCCAGCAATGCGGTTGATGGAGCAGATCAACAAGAACCCTAACCTCTGCAAGATGCTCATCGAGACAAAGCAAGCCATCCATGCACTGGTGAAGGTCAAGCCGCTTTACTACGTGTCCACGACCCAGCCCTCTTCGGCTTTGCCATTAACTCTGCAAGGCAACGACCATCTGACGACTCAAGCTTTGCAGGTCAACAGATCTCCGCTGGCGCACATTAAGTCTCCAACGGCTGAAACTCGGCAAGGCAGCAGCAAGCGTGCGCTTCCCACGAAGGCCGGTCTGCAAGGCAACAGCAAGCGTCCGCTTCCCGCAAACGACAATGCTCCGTCAAGCAAGCGTCGGTCAGCGGATGACGAATCTATCTTGTGTGCATACAAATCTCATCTGTGGATAGCCGGTGAATGGATGGAGCATGTTCCCTTGGGAGAGAAAGCAGGCTCAAGGACTGCCAACAATGGGACACTGCGGTCGTCCAGCGCCCTCCCCAATACTACTCGCGCATCGAGGGCGGCCAGCAAGGAGAACAAGTACACATCGAGCTCAGGAACCATTGCGAGGGCAGCCACAACAAAGCAGACTTGCGCATCAAGCTCAAGGATTGCAAACAATCCTGCTTGTCCACTCAATTGGCCACTTGCACATGGCCAGCAAAGCCTGTTCCTTGGTGCACCTGGGAGCATGGAGAGGGCACAGCAATTTGATAATGACCTCTTCATGCCTTATCCCAGAGGCAAGACCATGGAAGAAGGTTGCCAATGGTTCTTGGAGCAGGTTGAGGGCCACCAAATTGGGCCTTCCATAGGTGGTGCCAATTCTTCTGACCTCAGCTTCCAAGCCAGAGAGGGCTTTGATCAGAGAGCCTACAGGCTTGCCAAAGCTGCTGCAGCTGCAGGAGGGGAAGCCATGGTCAGGAAGGCTCCATGGGAGGATACTTCTGCCTCCATGAATGGGCACAAGCCTGCTTCCCAAAAGACCACCTCTTGGTCCTTGGACATTGAGCATAGAGATCTAGTCAGGGAGCTAGACAAGCTGCACACAGCTGGTTTGCTCAGCAATGGACTGCCCACTGCAGCCCTTCGCCAGCTGGCAGCTCAGCACAAAGTAAGCCACTCGAGACTTTGTCAATTTCATCAGGTACAAATACCGAAAGTCTTCAAACGCGTTGGTTGCTGCAGCCAGCAGCGAGCGCATCTGCCTGGGAGCGGAGGTTGAAGGAACCCCGTCGCACACACAGCTGCGGCTCCGTTCACAGCCTCATCCCATGTCCCGACCACAAGACGCTCTGCTAGCTCAGCGGCCAAACAGCTTGCAGTGTGGAACAATGCCCGAGCCGCAGCCAAGTTGGGAGTTTCTCAGGCATTAAGATTGCCTCTCTAGACGCTCGCTAATTGTTTCCGCAACCAGGAAACGACCCGAGGACGCTGACTTGGGGTGGAGCACCTGGTCCGCTGAGCGCCGAGCTTGTCCGCCTTGACGTGTATCCCTTGTCACTTGGTCGCACTCAGAAAAGTCGGAGATTTTTCCCTGCCAACATCCAGGTACGTACGTTGTCTTGCGGATCTTGCATTCTGAAGTGGCACGTCGCAGAAGACGACGTCTCTCTTCGATGCAAGAGCAATTCAGAGCCTTCGCAATGAGATCTGGGAGGGGCCAATGATTCTTGATTGTTGAATCAGCGTTGTGGGGGTTATCAAAATCACAGACTCATCGCCATTCAGGAGAAAAGGCTCAAATGGCGCGATCATACCCGTGAGGTTGCCAATCTTGTAGTTTTGAAATTTAGAGTGCTGTGTTTTATCAAGTACAGGTACCACAAACTGTCAATCATGTTGGCCACTGCTAGCATACAGGCGCCTTGCTACTCAATTCAAACTTCTTTCCCTCTGCAGGAACAACAGGCTCGTCTTCCTTCGAATCTTCCGAGTCCTTGTCGACTTTGTTGGTGCGAACCTGGCCTCTAGGGGTCGACTTGACACTCAACACTCAATCCTAGCTCAGCTGCTCCCTGAGCATCCTTGCGGTCATGCATCTCCATGCACAGTCGAGGTTCTACCTGCTTGATGGGATTTGGGAGGTAGAGCAGTTGGACTCGGCACGTGAATGGTGCAGAAATCAGTGCTGAGCTCTTCTTTGGTAGCAAAGATCTTCTCTATGTCCCTGCTGTGTTCAGACTTGTTGAGAAGCTCTTAAACAAAGTCTCCAAGACCTTAATGACACAGGCCTGTCAGCCAACAGAGCTGCGTCTTCGTCTTCAGCTGGAAAAGAGGCTTCTTCTCTTCTCCCTAGCTCCAGAATCAAAAGTTTTTCGGCCCAAATTCTTACTCTTTGGCAAATTGTTTGACCCGCAGCCACGATGTGAGTCCTGAAATTTCGGCAATTATAGAGGCTGTCTAACAGAAACGCCTGCACCTCCAATTCAGCCCCTTGATGCCATTCTGCAAGGCAGTAGAAACCCTCTTGATTGCTGCAGGTGTAACTCCAGGACAACCACACCTCTCTCCTTGCAACCATGCAATAGAGTTGTTGATGCAAAAGCATTGCAACTTTGTCAATGTCACCAAAGTTTGACCGCTTGAGCACGCTATTGACATGGCTTCTTGGGCTTCAAGCACACGGTCCAAGTCCATGATCATCATGAAGGACATTACCGTGGAGGACTTGCGGAACAACGCAGACAACTACGGCCTGCACAGTAGTGAAAACCGATTTGGCATATAGAAGATGACATTAAAGTGCCCTTGAGGTTGGAACACCAATCTGCATCGGAATCACTCTCATAAGCCCAACCAACAACCAAGCACGCCTCCTGCGGTCACAAGAAAGGAGCTCTCTAGAGGGCCAAATCGAAAGTGTCTCCTTTATCATTCTTCATAGAAACTCACTCCTGGACTGATTGCCCAGCTGTTAGTCACTCCCCTCTTCTCTTCCACAATTTTCAGCTATTGAGTTCTGCCATCCAACAACAGCTAGCTCTATGCTCAAGAGCGTGAAGACCTTACCTGCGCCAGGATCCATCTTCATCCAAAATACGCACCATCACACTGACCCTGCTGATCCCCAGGACAAAGAGGATGTACGTGAGCGCGCGATCTCATTGCCTACATTCCAATCACCTCCTCTTGGCAGCATCTCCAATGTTGGCGTCACTTTTTGTTCTGAGTGGCAAAGCAACCATCTTTGTGGCATTGAAACCATTCTGCTCCAGCACAGGAGAATTGAACAAATGCTCTCCAAGCTCCTGACAAGTCAATGAATGCAGCAAGCTACAATGGGTGAGATCCAATGCCCACTTGAGCTTTAGAATGGAATGCACAGGGAGGAGCATGATGCTGTGGCAGACAACCACCACATGCATTCTGATCTGCTGGTGTGGCAGTGCTGCAGGGGGGTAGCAACAGGCTAAGATTGCCCTTTGTGAAGGGCCACATTCATTGGTGTGGTAGCTCAGTGACGAGCGCAGAGCTCAGATGTGGGCAGGGTGCATATGTGACCCACAAAAGGGGGGGATCTGATTAAGGCTGCCCCTTGTGAAGGGCCACATTGATGG